AAAAAAAAAAAAAAAAAAGGGGGGGGGGGGGTTATGCACTTACACCCTTACTGGAGATTCTGTGAATCTCCTTTGTCTGCTGGTTCACATCAGCTAAAAACAGAAACCACCTGTTCTAAGATCATGGCGTGGGCCTACAATGTTTCTAGTCTCATAAAATGAATAGCAGAACAGGTGAAAGTCCCAGGACATTATGAGCTGCAGCTTACATGTTCTCCACTACTAATTCCAGCTGATTCCTCGCATGAGCATCAACATCAGAATCCTGTGCACTGCTGTTCAGCTGTCTATAATTAGACTATTAATCACTTTCAGCTCACAGATATTATTATTATTATCAGCACAATAAATAAACAATAAAAAATATCTCCAAGTCAAAAAGACTAAAGTAAATGTAATACCCAGCCCAGGCACTAAGAAGATCTAGCTGCATAAATGAATGTATCCACAAACTAAGGTAAAAGCAAATCACCTGGCATCTCATGTGACAGGACAACTTTATTTTCTATATTTTTATGGAAGAAAATGGTATTCCGCACCTTTTAAAACAAATATAGTGAACATCTATGTACTCTATGTAGGGCTACTAGGCCACTACTACGCTCCACATTAACAGCGCATGCGCGTTCGTTCAGGAGACGCTTGCCGTCAGCTCCGGATTCATCAAGTGAGTTAAATGCTTTACTTTCCAAATAAATATATTCACACTGACGACAGCATACTGTAAGTGTGATAGTACAACCTACATATGCAAAGACAATGAAGCGAATACACGTACATGTGAAGTTACTAGTTAGAATGCGCTGAGAGATTGTGAATACGCCGTAGCTACGCACTCCACGTAATTCGACCAGTCAAAAATCAATAACTGTCACTAAAAAGAGAAGAATTTACAACAGTTATTTCTGAAAGGCATGTAACTCAGCATATTGAATTATTACATACTAAATTATTATCAGAAGTAGGTGGCGGTTCAGGGGAGGCACAGCTTCCCAATAATTTTGAGGTGAAAATGGGAGGACGGTTTAATGTTAATAAAATTCACAATTCATGTCAGTTCATGTCTCAGAATGTGTATTT